ATCTTTAACTCTTCTTCTCTATTTCCTTCAAGGTCTATACAGAAGTATATAACGAAGTTCATTTCCTGATGGAAATATGTTAATCCTCACAATAGAGGGCATTTTGGTAATTTGACATAATAGCAAGAAAATAAAATATATCAATTGTAGCAGTGGAAATTGTTGATATGTTGCTATTATTTGGTAGAAAAGTACAATGTTGTAATAGAAGAAATGGAAGTGCGATGATATAAAAACAAATAAGCATAAGTAATTTGCTATTTTTTGGATTTTGTCTTCATTACTCCATGTATACCATTTAGGTTGACTGCATAGCATGTGGCGTGGGATTTTTCTGATTTGGTTCCCATAGTAAATGTCTTCGAGGGTATCTTTCAGAGATTATCAGACTGCAAAGAAAATCAAATGAATTTTTTTGGTCACGTAGTTTCTAAAAAATGTAACAAACATCATATCATATAACAAACAACAAACCTGACTTGTTATGGCAGCAAATGCAGTGTCCGATGGTGAAGGTAAGGCGATAAATCTACATAGTGGACAGATGGAGGTAGGCAGAAAAGCATGTTATGGCAGAAAAGCACTTGCCTGGTCCCCCTTGGTCATCTTTCTTGGGGCCTACAACAGAAACATGCACGCATGAGGATGATATGGCACATCAAATGTCATTATAAGCACAAAAGAATTGGTTGGTGTCGTTTTTATTTTTACTATACATGTAATGTAAGGGAGAATGAAAAGGTCAATTAGAAATCAGCTATAACTTACGTGGAGAAGTAACAATCTCTTTAAGCTTTATTACATTCTCATGATGCACCTTCTTTAAGATTTTGATCTCGCAAACGGCAGTTATTGAGAGATGTATTTAGACAGTAGATTTAGATATTAGACAAATTCTATAAGTAGTTGTTTAACAATGTGTAGTGGAAATAAGTTTTTTTGCAGAAAAAGGCGTCTTAAATGAATTTCAATATTTCATTATACTTCATTTATCCCTATAAATGACAGTAATGGAACCAGAATATTATTAACTCACTTACCTTAATGTCAGCAACTCGATTTCGGTAAAAAAAACATAAAAGCCTGTTTCAAACTAAAATGCGGATATTAAAAAATAAGAATGAAAATTAATTCAAGAAATCATGAAAACATTAGAAAAATGAGATTTAAAGAAAACATGCTTGTAATACTCCCTTGTCGATTATTTCTTTCTTTTTAATCATCACTTTCCAAACGCTTTGTTGTTTTTAGTTGTTCCTTCTCGAAAATTTCTTCCAACCGTGTCTTTTTTTGGTTTCTTTTGGCCATAAATTTGATCTGTAAGTTCTGTAATACAAAAACAACAAAATAAATAAGAAAATGGGAATACAAATTAATGCATCGTTAATCGTTATTGATTTTAATCAACGTGTACAAATGCTAAAAACCTTCAACCCATTTGATAATGAAACATTTAATGTTTCAACAAATAATGACAACCGCAATGTAAATCAAGAGTGTAATCAAATAACTATTTTATTTTATCTATAAAGAATTTGATGCGATAATCATAAAAAAATAATAATAATAACAATTGTATAAAGCCACTCACCTCAAATGTTGATTCTTCAATATTATTATCATCATAATCCAAGAGAGAATCCAGTGAAAGTGAAGAGGAACGAAACTGTGACAGAAATGGTAAAATACATTATTTATTGCAATTTTCCCTAATTTTCAATATACTTAATTAATGGAACCAATACATAAGTTAAATCACATACTTTATTACTCTCTTTTGTTTGGAGAACCCATATCTTTAACATCCGTCTCTTTTTTCACTTTCCCATCCTTTAACTTCTCAGTTTCCAATTTTTCATTATTTTCAGACTGGACAATAATACCCTTCGTAGATAAAGAGTTCAAGATGACCTTTAGGCAGTATAATAATAATTGATCAATGGACTACATTTAAATCTAAAATTATAATAATATGCTTTACCTTCAGTCCTCTGCAACAAATTGTTGTAGTATTTGTAGTTAAAAATCATACCCACCAGATCATGCAAAACTTTTCTGTCAAATGAAACATAATCCAACAAATCATTAGTTATAGACTTTAAAGTTGTTTTATGCTTACTTTCCTAGAGCTAAACAGATATACAACATCAAAAATGAATTATGTAGCATTAACGTTTCAGTCATTCGATTGGTATCTTGAAATAATTACATTTGCAAATGAAACTCAAGATATTAAAAGTAACAGGCAAAAAATACAATACCAACGATGGATTTTTCTCCTTGGAAAATCAAAGCCATCTGAAGGCCCGATATACGATGTAGTACCAGTCGAACAAAGCAAATGTTGCTCTATTTCGGCATCTCCTGCTTACGTTTATTCCAAGTCACTTACCTGCAAGGGCAATATTGTAATTCATTAGTTTGTAATAATATTTAACACGTATTAGAGTTTGACACTTTCTTCATACTTAATTTTCACCATTCATACTTAAAACACTTTCTTCAAAGTCAATTTCTCAAAAAAAAATCCCTCTCTAACTTTATCCTTGCTCGAGACTTTATCCTTCTCTAACTTTTTGAATAAGTCAACTTCTCAAAAAAAATCCCAGCCCCAAATCAATCCTATTTCCAACTACTGTCACATTTTTTTTCATCTGCATTCATACTTAACTTGTTAGCCCAACTGAACTTGCCAGAGGGTATTATTTTTAGAAGATCATGTTATAAAGTAATGATGTTTAAACAAAAAAAATTAACAATAAGATAATAGGGTATGGCTTTTTCCCTGTGTTTATGCTTCACTTCAAGTTTGTATTCAAACAGAAAGAGAACCATACCGCACATTAACACCTTGTTAAATTTTGATACTGAAACTAAAGAGAAAAAAACAAAATTTTGACCATCGTTTGCTAATGGAGCGTTTATGTAACAAATGCAGCTTTCTAGAGTGAAGTTTTTGCGTACCTTTTTAGCACAATCTACAGTTTTCGCTTCATAAGATGGGAGTAGTGAAAGTACCTAAGAAAAGAGTAAATGTGAGACAATTTTCAAAAGATAAATACAACGCAAGGCAACCGGTTTCCAGTAATAAAAAATCAGAACTCATCGCTATTCCCATTATCCAAGCAATAATCACACAATTTGTACAATATCTTTAAACATAATAGCAACTGTCATTCTAAGAAAAAAAATATTCGATTATTTACGGTTAGGCTAATGATTATCCAAACATAATGGCCCGAAAGCGAAAAGCAAACAGATTGTAATTAAAAGATACAATAAAAAATTTCAAACCCTTAAAACACATTTCAACTCTCAAATCCAAAACTTGATTCGTGGGCCAAATCAAATGATGTATAAAACTGCAAATATTGCTTCTAAAAAGTTATATGTCGTTCGATGATATTTTTTGGAGAATGAAAGCAAGTTATTTGTAGCCAATAACTGAACAATCTGCAGCAACTTGTCATTACCGGTTCAAGAAAAGCAAAAAAGATAAAGTCACACCAGGCTCTACATTCCCAGCCTGAATACAATTACACTCAAACCCTTTTGGGTTTGGGAAGCAGGTGTCAACCACAGGAATTTCAATATACCTACAAATAAATACAACTAATAATTGATCATCATAATCAATCTGTCACAAAATTCCAGTCATAACATAAGACAACGTTATAAGTTACCTTTAAGTAACAGAGTAATAGGTTGTGTAGCTGCTCTAGCCTCCTTTTCGGGCGATCACCAAAGTCAATGGAAATAATAGAGGGCAAACGGGACACTGGAAGTTAAGAATATAAACAGTTATTTCACCTTCAACAATTGAAATGGGTAAAACCCCTATTCTCATATTCTAATGTAACAATAAAACATACATGGTGGTCGGTGGACATTTTTGCCCATATCAAGAACAAAATGGTGTGTGTGCGTGTTAAGTTAGAATCTGCAGAAAACAAAAATAGAATTGATTTAAAGCCGTAACTGAACTGAAAAAAGATCAATTTCAGTGCGAATTTGTAGAAAACGAATTCAGAAATTAGAAAAAATGAGCGGGACGACGTTCCAGAAGAGAAGCCATCTCGTTCCATAAGAGCATGGCCTCAATCTCTGTATGTGCTTCAGCCAAATACCTTCTTTGCCCCTTTCCTGCTTTGAATCCGGTGGGTTTGAGTTTATAAAACAAATAATAAAGAAGAGAAATAGAAATCAGACATGTAGAAGAGAAAATAATCAACGAAACTTGGGAATTTACAGCATAGAAAGAGGGTCAAATGACGTTGAAGATGAAAAAGAAAGAGAAGGTACCTGTGACGATTTTTTTGCAGGTCGGTTGAACTGTTAGTCGAAAGGTTGAAGAAGTTTTTTGGTTTTTTTGAGATGGTAGACTTACAAGCGAAGGTGAGGCAGAAGTTTGACAGAGCGATGTCGGTAGAACCACCGACTCTACCGATTCCTCCTAGAATCAGAACTCTTGACGTGTGATCGAAGATGGAAGATAGAAAGAAACGGGAAAACTTCGGTATTAGAGGTGGTGGCCGGTGGAGGACGCATCGTTGTTCTACGACGCCGTGTAGGCAGTGGACAGAACCATCCAGAAAGCAAGAGAAAAAAATAGATATTATTAGGGAAGGAAGATAAGGCGGTGGGAGAAAACCGAGAAGCATCGGAGACAGTGACCACACTTTTATCAGATGGACCAGGAAGGACGAAATTGTAATATTAATAAAGAGCTGGACCAATTGTGATATACAGGATAAATCTGGACCAAATATGTCAAAAAACCAACACTTTACTGTTCCTTTTCTTCAGAACTTTAATATATATATATATATATATATATATATATATATATATATATATATATATAATAATAATAATAATAATAAAAACAATTACGTTTTTTATTAAATTATTTTTAAGAGTTTTAAAAAGTTGAAAGTTTCAAGCCCAAAATGTTTAATTTCATTACAATTTCGTGTAATTAGCGGTAAACTTATTTTGGATGAAAAAAAAAAAAACATGAAAGATCGGTGACCCGGTTGTTACAGTTTATCCTCGTGATCTTCACAAACCCTTTTAGGGATCTTCATAATTGGCAAACTCATCGTCTTCTTCGACCAGAATGACATGGTTAAACAAACCCTTCAAATATTCAGGAATGTATATGTATATTTACATTTACAGTGGAAGAAACATTAAAAATTTAGCCCACGAAAATGATAGGTAAAGCAGTCACATCACTCGTGATCTTTCTCGTAACCATCTTCATCACATACTCAATCACAACCGGAGGTTTAGGATCCGGACGATTTGGTACAGTTGATTTGAAATCCCAGTTATCTTTCTTCTCCATTCCTAAAAATGATACCCCATTACCTTGTCGCAGCCGATCTCCGCTCAGGGTTTTCATGTACGATTTGCCCAAGAGGTTTAATGTCGGTATGATGAGCAGTAAGTTCGCCGGAGACGATAATTCGCCGTTGAATGCCAATAGTCTGCCGACGTTGCCGCACTATGCAGGGTTACACCAACAACATAGTGTGGAGTATTGGATGATGGCGTCGCTCTTGTATGAAAATGCTACGGTTGATGAGAGCAGTGAGGCATTGAGGGTTTCGAATCCTGATGCAGCGGATGTGTTCTTTGTTCCGTTTTTCTCTTCGATGAGTTTCAATACTCACGGGAAGAACATGACAGATCCCGATACTGAATTTGATCGACAATTACAGGTAACAATCATTTTGATCGTTTCATCGTAATTAAACAGCCTCGTTATCCAATATCGATTCTTTAAGGCAAATTGTTGAAATGTTGATTCACTTTTGTGCACATATTGGTTAACTCCATCTTATTCCAAATGGAGCTGCACTTTCGTTTGAATGTTATAGGAGTATGATGACTTTTCTACCTAACAAATTTTCAGTTTTTGGAGAAGAAATTGCTCACTATGTTGAATTATGTAGAAAGGTTAGAGATAGAGCTAAATTGGATGTGGTTTTGATTTTTGAAAGCAATCCTCTGTATACTTGAGTTGTTTTGAACCTAATCCTTATGATTACTACAGGTTGACATCCTTAAATTTTTGAGGGAATCTACCTATTGGCAAAGAACTTCTGGAAGAGATCATGTAATTCCAATGCATCATCCAAATGCTTTCAGATTTCTTCGGGATGAGGTGAATGCATCTATTCTCATTATTGCAGATTTTGGAAGATACTCAAAAAGCATGGCAAATTTGCATAAAGACGTTGTCGCCCCTTATATGCATGTAGTAAAGTCTTTCATGGATGATGACTCTTCAAATCCTTACAAGTTGCGTACCACTCTTCTTTTCTTCAGAGGAAGAACAGTAAGAAAAGCCGTAAGTCACAACCAACATGAACAATTCAAAAATCTCTTTTTTTTGTTTGAAGAAATACAAAATAATTAATTACTCCATGTCATAATGTGTTTTACAGGAAGGCAAAGTTCGTGCCAAGCTGGAAAAAATACTAAAAGGTTATTCAGATGTACATTTCGAAGCAGGCTACGCTACAGGAGAAGGCATAAACGCTGTAAGTCTTAAAAGTACAATACACACAGAATGCAGTACAACCTGTTCTGTTCTGTTATGTTATGTTCTGTTCTGTTCTGTGTAGTCCTGTTTAACAACTACAATTGAATTTTTGGTGTAACCAGTCAACACAGGGAATGCGGACATCAAGATTCTGTTTACATCCAGCTGGCGACACGCCGTCTTCTAACCGACTGTTTGATGCTATCGTGAGCCACTGTGTACCGGTGATAGTAAGCGACCATATTGAGCTCCCTTTTGAGTCAGAATTAGACTACTCAAAGTTTTCGGTTTTCTTTTCGGTAAAAGAGGCTTTGGTTCCGGGGTATATGGTTGAAGAGCTTAGGAAAATACCCGAAGAGAGGTGGGTTGAAATGTGGGGTCGGCTTAAAGAAATTGCACATCATTATGAATATGAGTACCCTCCCAAAAAAGATGATGCGGTTAATATGGTGTGGAAGGAGGTTAGGAGTAAAGTTCCTGCTGAAAGACTTGCTGTAAATAGAAACCGCAGACTCAAAGTGCACGATTGGTGGTGATTGGTGAGAGTGACGATAACAATTTTTTGTAAAATCGGTTAACATTGATAGATGCTGTAGTTTTCATTTGTATCCCTAAAATAGGGAAAATAGAGTTTCTAGGGTGGGAATCATATTTTACAAAGAAAAATAATGTTTGGCTGACACTGAGCAACATTTTGTTAAAGCAAATGAATTCGTCATTGAAAGGAATTGACAAATGAGGCTGATTAGTTACAATTAAACAGTCAAAAGATTCTTGCCTACAATTGGCGATCAGTCTCGAAAATGTTTCCTTGCTGGAAGAACGTATGTTCTCGAGTTCAACTTAACGAGAGAAAAAAAAGGAAATGGGTGGAAATGAGAATACAATAAAAGAAATTGATGTTAGCGAGTTTCATTAGAGGAAGGAAGTGGAGGGAAATGAAATGATCACTTTCCCTCCTAACTTTCCTTCCAATTTGGGAGGATTTGGAAAGAAAAAACAAAATGATTAATTTTTCTTCCACTTCTCTCCAACTCGAAAACACAAAAGAAAATTTTGTTTTCCTTTTCTTTCTCTTCTTTTCTCTCCTCACTTTCTTTTCTTTTCTTTTCTTTTGTTAAACTCAGGAACTAAGGATCATCTTGAAGTTAGTGTTTCATACAATGTGGTGGTATAATTGGGTTTTTAGAAATTCTATTTTGTTTGGTAAGAGCCACCAGAAAAAAGGATATTTGATCATGATGCGTAAAATCATGGATCCTTTTCACGGGTTCAAGTCGTTTCAACCCAACCCCGTAATCATGAATCTTGATTTGACCATCATTCTAGAAGGTCGATAAATTACAAGAAACTGCTAGTGTGTTTGTCAATACGTTGACAAGTGGTGGAAAATGTAATAAATAATTTCTCAGGTGGCGATTCCCCTAAGGTAACTTCATATTGAATATGTAGTTTTACGCCACCTTTTCGAGAGGAGATTGAATGATTTTGGATTATGCCTATTGGAATCACTCTTTTTATATCACTAATATTTCTGTAGAAGGATCAATGACATGGACTCTCTGCCTCTTTTCTCTATCCATGGATCTCCATTTATGCATTTTTGGGATATGTTTGAATGGTGGGATTTCTAGAAGTAATTTTATTTAAATGATTTTTGTGTTTAAAGTGTCAAGGAGGGTATAACTCATTAAGCCCCCCCAAGACTATGTAAGATTGCTAATAAGACGATATACATAGGGCGTGTTCGGCAAAATTAGCTGGTAGCGGGTGACTTGTAGCGTGTAGTGGGTAGCTTGTAGCTTGTAGCGTTTTGTTAAACGCTACATGAAGTAACATTTGGATTTGGAGCGTTTTGTTTAAACTAAACGCTAGAAGCTTGTAGTGCCGAACGAGACTTTCTGTTCAAAAAAGAGCGTTTTGTCAAACGCTAGAAGCTAGAAGCTCTCAAACGCTCCCAAAAGCTCCGTGCCGAACACACCCATAGTCTTTTACTAAAATGTGAAGGTTAATATATATATATATATATATATATATATATATATATATATATATATATATATATATGGATCCTTTTCACGGGTTCAAGTCATTTCAACCCAACCCCGTAATCATGAATCTTGATTTGACCATCATTCTAGAAGGTCGATAAATTACAAGAAACTGCTAGTGTGTTTGTCAATACGTTGACAAGTGGTGGAAAATGTAATAAATAATTTCTTAGGTGGCGATTCCCCTAAGGTAACTTCATATTGAATATGTAGTTTTACGCCACCTTTTCGAGAGGAGATTGAATGATTTTTGGATTATGCCTATTGGAATCACTCTTTTTATATCACTAATATTTCTGTAGAAGGATCAATGCCATGGACTCTCTGCCTCTTTTCTCTATCCATGGATCTCCATTTATGCATTTTTGGGATATGTTTGAATGGTGGGATTTCTAGAAGTAATTTTATTTAAATGATTTTTGTGTTTAAAGTGTCAAGGAGGGTATAACTCATTAAGCCCCCCAAGACTATGTAAGATTGCTAATAAGACGATATACATAGGGCGTGTTCGGCAAAATTAGCTGGTAGCGGGTGACTTGTAGCGTGTAGTGGGTAGCTTGTAGCTTGTAGCGTTTTGTTAAACGCTACATGAAGTAACATTTGGATTTGGAGCGTTTTGTTTAAACTAAACGCTAGAAGCTTGTAGTGCCGAACGAGACTTTCTGTTCAAAAAAGAGCGTTTTGTCAAACGCTAGAAGCTAGAAGCTCTCAAACGCTCCCAAAAGCTCCGTGCCGAACACACCCATAGTCTTTTACTAAAATGTGAAGGTTAATATATATAATATATATATATATATATATATATATATATATATATATATATATATATATATATATATATATACAACTTACAACCAATTATTTTTTGAGCAAGCGTCTTCTGGTGTGGCCAATACGATGGACTCGGGTGCTGAAAATTTTAGTCGTTTTGTTGGCTCGTCGTCTCGTTATCAAGAGCTTCTCGCATGTTACGAATGTTTTTACTATGGTGAGATTGAGCGCTTATTCAGAGACAACGTGCGTTGGAGCATGAAGTCATTCGACTTTGTGGAAGTCGTAGTGTTTGATGTTGTTTGTAGAAGTCTATATAATTAGCCAAATCGTCTGAAGCATGAACATAATCGCCTTTGTTCAGAAGGCCTAGCGAGTTAAGCGAGTTCCTTTTTTCTTTTTTCAAAGGCAGTCCTTTTCTTTCCCCGGACCGATGACTCGCTTGTTCAGTACTGCTAACTCTTATTGGAGGATTCCGTCCCCTCGGGACTACCAGTAGCTTCGGTTGTTGAATCTCGTGCCCACTAGAGAGAAGTTAGCTAGCGGGTTCTTGTTTTCCGATAGGAAGAGGAAGGAAAACGCTTTGCTTCGACCTGACCTTAAAGTGGATGAGTTTCTAGGAGTGTGTTCGTTTAGGTCATGTGCTTGAAATAATATGTCGTAGGTTGTATGAGGGTCAGCGGTGTAACTGCTTTTGGGGCGTTTGAATAAATTTGTTTCTGTGTGTTCGTTATTAATAGGAAATTTCTTAGAAACTTACATGTTTCTCTGTTTCTTTGTATGCTTTATTTCATTAAGGTGCTGAAATGTGAAACCGCATCACATACCTTCTATCTCTTACAAATCAAGTGATTAATGGCATCTTCATCATCATCTTCTCAAACATGGAGTCATGATGTTTTCCTTAGTTTTAAAGGAGAAGATACCCACAAGACTTTTGTGGATCATCTCTACTCGGTTCTTGTACTACAAGGAATCGGCACTTACAAGGATGTTGAAACACTTCCTTGTGGTGAATTAATCAACACATCCCTTATGAAGGCTATTGAGGAATCACATATAGCTGACATCATATTCTCTATAAACTATGCAGATTCATCGTGGTGCTTAGATGAAGTTGCACATATTATGAAATGTAAGGATACGAATGGGCTAATTGTTATGCCTATATTTTATGACATGGACCAGTCTACAGTGTGAAATCAAAAAGAAAAATATGGATAAGCATTTGCCAAACATAAGTTGGAGAACAAGAACCAAGTTGAATGTAGGAAAAAAATCAATTAGAGCATTGTAGTTGTAATCCTAATAACCCATTAGAAACAACCCTCTACATCAGACAACCATCTCATCGTCACAATCAGGTCTGAGACCCCATCAAACTCTGGGGGCTTCGTATTATCGAAGTCCCGATACTGTAAAGTTCTCTATCCTCGAGCCCCAATGGCAGCAAGAACCGCGGTAGCTGCATCGACAATAACCTGAGAAAGTGCGGCCAAACGATCATCAAATAACTCAATCATGGCGGTCTTGACCAACTCAAACAACTCTGAAGTAATCTCTCTGATCATCTCAGCCACTTCTGTAGCAATGATCCCATGAATCTCCTCCTCATTCAAACATGTTGTTCCAGTGTCACCAGCTCCTAATATTGAACCTTCAATAGCCGTCATACTGAAAATACATCAAGGAAAGATCAGACATCACAATACAGTGCTCGACACACTAGGCCCTACTCCTATTAGTTCCTTAGCAGCCTCAAACTTCCTCCTGAATCTCATCCTGTGCTTTATGTATTACGAACCCATACTACGTTCTACACCTATCCGTAGTTGATTCAGAATTCATTCCAAGGTTCTAAGTCACTACACTAAGCCACTCCTAGGTATGCTAACACCCACTTCTACTGCGAGCTACAACTAACTTCCTAGGCACTCTTCCTAGGATTACCCTCACTCCTGTACCACTGGTTGCTTTTGTGCATGCTTGTTGTACACAATACGGGGTCAGATAGATTGTCGAATAATCAACTCTGCCCTAAATCCACAACCAAACAAGGAACAAGAAGTAAGGCCAAGTCGATCATTCTAAGGCTATTCAATCACGACCATATACAACTAATCAACATACACGCAACAATCACACAATCAAAAACATATATCAGGTAAGCAACTCCCTAAATCAGAAGGCATCACAGAAATCAGGCATTTCTATACAACAGTTTGTAAAGAACCTTATCCACTAGCATGCTTTTCTAACAATCCATGCATCAGTAAAATCAAAACTCAGCAAACATAACAATGTGGGTATTTTGGGAACCACTCTCCTGTTTGGGCTCTGGCTGACTGTACACACCACATCTTCCTGAAAAAAGCCAAAGTTAAGTCAAAGCCCACGTTCCCGATCCCAAGTCAACAATCAAACAAGAACATGACAAGAGGTCGAGCCCATGTCCTTAGCCTAACCGTTTTATTATAAATTATTTTCTTCAAAAACATTTTGCAAAAACTCTTGGATCCTAGTTTGAGAATGGATTCACACAAGTGTTCCTCTAATTCACTCAAACCAAGGTTCTAATACCAACTTGTAACGTCATGTTTTTCACAACCAAAATTTTTCATTTTTATTAAGGTGAAACTTCCCAATTTATAAATCCATTATTAAGAAAACCGTTTATTCCAAATCACATTTATTAAAAATCAAAGTATCATAGAATATGCAGAATCCTCGATGTTGCTGATGAGTGTGTACAATCCCACCTTTGCCTTCCCATAGCCACCGATGATACCTAAAACAATAAACAACCGGGTAAGCATAAAGCTTAGTGAGTTTCCCCCAAAATATCCCATACAATAAACATACAAGCATGCATAACGGTCTACAACCTCCCGGTTGGAATGCCCAGACCCAATTACTCCTCAGAATGGAATGCCAACATGCAACGGGTCCAATCAACCATCGGGCTGGAATACCCAGGGTTTGTTGGCCTACCGCCTCAACCCAACCACTCTTCCCGAGCCTCCGTGCCTTCGGCTTACAGCCGGACTGCACCGAGTATCTTGGCCTACAACACAAAGCATGACCACCTCAACCCAAACCAAACACAACATGTCAACATATAAACAATCACTATCACCTACTAGTCCTCTCACAGCATACAGTCCCGCTACCAGCTAACCTCTATAGAATGCGTAACTATAAGTAACCAAAGGTGAGATAGCCACCCGAACAAATGATCCTACTCTAGATCCATAACCAAACAAGGAACAGACAAGAAAGCCTAGACCAATAGTTCTCAGGCTATCCTACATGACCACAGACAGTCCCTAAGGTCAATGCATAGATGATAACCAACAAGCACAAATAACATACAGTTTTACAGATTATTACAACATATAAACATACCCGATACCAGAATACATATCTAACAGATCACTACAGCATAGCAACATACTCGATACCAGAACACAGATTTAACAAATCACTACAACATAACAGCATACTAAATATCAACAATCCAAGGAATGCGTGACCGTATATAATGAAAGGTGAGATAAACACCTGGACAGGTGATCCTACTCTAGAACCACAACCAAACAATGAACATGTAAAAGGGCCTAGATCAAGAGTCCCCAGTCTATCCTACATGACTATATATAGTCCCTAATGCATCCCTCTACTAACAAATAAGCAAAACTAGTGGGTCGACATTGGTGTCTTCTACCCACGATACAATGAGGCGAAACTCACCTCGATATGCGTGTAGGTAACCACCGTAGTAACGAAGAAATCTACCAGCTTCGACTCACTTCCAATCACCTACAGGAAGATACTTGATTTAATACCCGATCGCAGGTCGTAGTCACTTGCAACAATGACTACCTCACATGAAATGACGATTAGGGTTCCACATAAAATGACGATTAGGGTTAAGTAAGGACACTTAACCCATTAAGGACTTAATCACCTAAGGCAAAGACTGATTAAGGTTTGACCTAGTCATTCTCGGATGTAATAATAATCCAAGCAATAGCCCAATACACGCCCCGATCATTGTCCAATGTAGGGCTTCCCGATTCTAGGGTTTCCACATAAAATGATAACTACGGTTAGTATTCCACACCAAACCCCTTAAGGACTTAATTCATCAAGTCCAATATTGCATTAAGTTAATCGTAGGGTGTTATTGAGTATAATTTAAAGTTCAATTAACAGTTCAACACGGGTCCCGACAAAACTTCAAAACTAGTGTTTTCTTGACATTAGGGTTTTCTAAACCCTAATTAGGGTTTCTAACCCAAACGCGTGCCACTCGGTCTAGGTTAGATACTTAGGTTATTTAATGTTTAGTAAGTCAGACACCACCCACTGCCACCTCGGGCAGTGGTGGTCGGCGGCGGATGTGACAACCGTCAAATTTTGGTCAAGTCAAAGTCAAACAAAGTCAACAAGTCAAACCGGTCAACTCCATTAACCCTTGTATGTTAGGGTTTACATTATACAATTCGCTATTTCAATGAGAAAACATCATTTGAAAAATTCATGTGTTTGATTTTCCTTAGCCTTAACAGTGCTAAACAACGAACCAAAGCGATAAAACACTATTGCACCATCATCGGGATTGTGTAAGACACTAAATCATGGCTTAACGGGGTTTATGGACCTTTCGTTGTGAAGCCGGACACTCAAAAAGATCACAAACGAAACCTCTCACAATCTCTTTCACTCAACCTCTCTCTATTAAAATCTCTCCCAAATCTCTCCCGAATCTCTCCCAAATCTCTCTCAAAAGTTCCTATAAAATTTTGTAATCATTCGGGCCATCCCGACCCTTAACTGGGTCAAAAACCACTTGAAACGGGGTAAAAACGGGTAAAATAGGCTTAAGGACCCAAAACTGAAGCTTCAGGACCGAAGTCCCTGTCATAAAGGAAGACGACACACATTTGTCTGTCATAACCTTACGACGCGCGTGTTGATGACACGCAATGAGTATCAAGGAAGCCCCTGTCATAAAAGAATACGACATGCATTTTTGCGTGTCATAATGTTCCCGGTTTTTCGACTACGACTTCGTTTTAGGCCCATTTTTCATCATTTTAACGCGGGATTTTCACCAAAAAACTTTATTTTTACAGTTAGAACTCTATATTTCAGTAATCCCCACGTTTTTAGGGCCATTCATACCAATAATTAGTGGGGGAGGTGCTTGAGGTGGAAAGATGACTTTACTTTACTTTATGTCACATGTCACCACTCACACCCACTACATGGCCAACTCTTTTCCACTACATGACCAGCTCTTACCCACTACATGACCAACTCATACCCACTACATGACCAGCCCCACTCCTTGTCTAAGTATAAAAACCCATCCCCTCTCTTCATACTTTTTTCATTCTCTCATTTTCCTCCAAGGATCACACTCCAAATTCTCTCACCATTCTCTCTCAATTCCAAGACTTCCAAGGCTGATTATCAAGCTTTCTTCCACTCTTGGTAAGTATAATTCATTCTTCTTATGATTATTACACATCCTTCTACTCAAAATCATAAGAATCTTACACAAACATCGTCACCTTCATGTTAGGTTCTCGATTCGTCAAGGCATCTTCTAAGTGTTCTCGGGTTGAACACTTCTCTTCTCCAACATCCATCCTCTAATAACACATAAGTTGAGTTCATACCCCTATATTTTCATGTTTTTCTTAAGTTTTAAGGGGGGGAATACATGTTAAAACACCAAAAACACAACTAAACTCATTTAACAGTCTTCAACAGAAACGTTTAACTCCATTCACGGACTGTTTTGGTCAACTTAAACATTTTAGTTTTCAAAACTGTTTCAGACGCATATAGTTCAGGTTCACACCTTTAAAATGACTACTTGCACATCACCATATGATTTTTCTACGATTTATGGTGATTTTTACAAAACTGTCTATCATTTCAGAAACAAAACCGGACCAGTATGTGAATATGAATATTTTCACACAAGTTGGAGATCACTAAAAATCATGAGAACATTTATGAACAAACTAGACACACTTTATAAACTCTCAGAATTTGCGGTTTTTGATTTAGACCTTTGATGATTTTTCTATAAATTTTCTAAGAACAGTAACATAAACGTTATTACTAGAAAAATACCATCAATTTCATTTACGCCTTGTAACTCGTTGAGCAAGGTGTATATCATT